GTGTAAGCCCCCATGTAACCACCCTTTTTGGCTTGGGATGTTCCCCCGTTACACTAAGAGTCCTTCATGGGGGGAATGTAATCACAATTAAAGACTGTTAGTATAAGGGGTATCCCCACCTATGGCCCTTATGGAAACCTCTATGCCGAGAGAAGGCTCGGGTTTGGAGTGGACCCGTCCCTGAATCCGACGGAATCCGGCCCAAAGCCCTAAACCCTCAACCCTATAAACCCTAAACTCTTGAACCCCAAAACCCCCTAAGCCAAAAACCCCAAAATTCAAAACCCCTGTCAAACCCTAAAACCTTGGGGGTGGGGGGGGAGCCTGCAGCGCCGCCTTTGGAGGAGCCGACCATGCCTGTTTGCACTCCCAAAGTCGGGAGGGTAAGAGAACACTCCTCCATCGGGATGTTCTCAGAGCTACAGGGGCGACAAGGGGGGTATAAAGGGGGGCACAAAGAAGGGGTATAAAGGGGGGGTACCAAGGGTTTCAGGGGGGTGTGCAAGGGCGGGCTGCGAGCTTGAGATGTTCCCCCCTGTATACTAACAGCCCTTAATAGACAAATAGTATAAAGGGGAACATCCCAACGCCTCCAGTTCACCCCTATAAACCCCTGCGACCCCCCTTAGGATTCAGGCGAACGGTTCAGGGTTCAGGATTGGGGGTTTCGGTTTTAGATAGGGTTCAGGGTTTCAGCCTCCCCCCCCCCCCAGGACTTTCCCAAAACCCTGAAGCACCAACTGCCCCAAACCCGCTCTTCAACCCTGAAGCTCAGACCCTGAACTCCGACATCCGCGGCAACCCCAAGTTTTCAACCTCCAAACAGAACGAGAGCGAAACACACCAAAAGAGGCGCCTGGAAGCCCAGCTTTCATACTCGCACCTGCAGGAGGACGTAGAGCATGTCATTGAGTCATGGGCAAATATAGTTCTCTATCTGAGTATGGGGTAGGAAGAAGTCATGGACCGACATCACCTCAACTTCCCCCTTGGTTTTTAGCCTGCGTTGCATATTCTTATCCGCCTAAACCCTCAGTGCCGCAGGCTCCCACCGCCCCACATCCGACCCCGCCATGCTGGGCGTGCACGGTGCATGTTGCTGCCAGGCACGCCTGGACTAGGGATCTAGGGACTCCTGGCATTCGCGAGGTTACCGCAGCTTTTCAAGTGATGGGCGACAAGAAACCTCGATGTCCCCCTAGCCACCTCCTGCGGCCTGTGCGGGGCTCAAGGAATCTCTGGCCCGTCAGACTGACTCATAAGCGCTAGGGTGGTCCAGATGAGACCTCTGCTGTTTCTGGCCGTTCCTGCCACTAGAATTCACGCAGGTCGTAGGAGCCTTACAGAATTTCTCCCCTTGCCCTGCTTTTCGACACTACCTGGCCTCCCCATGCCCCCCCCCCCTTCCCCTCCCCCCCCTCCCCTCCCGAACGCTGAAGCCGCGGAGCCTTGTAGCATGGGGTTGCTGTCTGGCCGCATACCTGGGCCACGAATCCCCCCAAAACCTCTAACCTCATCTCTCATCAAAGCCGCACCTAGGGATCCAAGTTATTCTGAAGTCTCAACCCTCATCCGACTCCCTGGTAGGAACTCCGCTTCGGCAGGCTGCTCTGTGGATGCTTCCAGCAATGGTCATAAAGGTCTTGCTGTCACAGAAGTATAGTTTCCTAGAGGGTCCCTGTTGGGGTCCTTATTGTTGGTTCCCGAACACCTGAGTGCCCACCCCTACTCAGCCGCTAGACACCCCAAATCCTTACAGGCCTCGATGCTTGTTGAGAAGGAGCTCGGGGCCCTAAATGGTGCGAGTACCACACAACCACACTTCTTCTGTGCATACGTCTCTCTTGAGTTGTGTGGTAGTTTGTTGCTAAGGGCAGCCACAGCACATCGAAGGACCAGAGATTAGGTGGGGGGGGGAGCTCCAGGCCCTGACACAGGACTTCCGAATCCCAAGAACCTGAATCCAGAATCTCCCACGAAAGCCTGCACTTCCGAGGGTGCTGCCGCACGGCCCTTTGCCCTGTGGAGAGGGGAGACGGTTTTTGTTGGGTCATCAAGGGGCTTGGTGCCCCCCGCCCCTTTTAGCAGTCTGTATCAAAGGACTAAAGGAGGGACCCTTGTGCAGCCGCAAAACCCAAACTGAAAACCAAACCTCTGAGCCCAGAAGCATTACTGGTTTCAAAAGTTGCGCACGTTTAGTAGAGGTAGCAGGCCAAGGGGCTCAAGTTGGGGAGATTATTGTTGACATTGATTTCCGAGACCCCTGAGAGGATCGAAAAAGCAGAACTCCTTATAAGAGGCCTTGGGCTTAGGGGATTTAGGGGGGTTATTTAGGGGCTCAATGAGATTTTGGGTCCCTTCTATGGGGTCCTCCTTATACCCCTTAACTGTAACAGTCCAAGGAAAGGCCTGCAAGTGGCGCTCAAGTAAATACAACGAAGTGTATCCACAAGGCTCGTTGACTCGGCCGATGGCTCTAAACCCTAAACCCTAAACCCTGAACCCTGACCCTGAACCCTTAACCCTAAAACCTAAACAAGATACGAGGCGACTCCCACCCACCCCCGCCCCGCCAACGTCATGCCGAGGTCGGTGAGCGCATCAAGCTGTCAACCACCTCCCTCCACACCCTAAAACCCTGAAACCCGAAGTGCGCAGGCTTTAGGGTTTAGGCCCTCAAGCCCTCAAGCCCTCCATTTAGGAATTTTACTCTATAAGGGATACAAAAGGGTACCCCTATTTCGGGAAATACCCATATGGATATGCACACGTCCATCATGCACCCGACAGCATGGCATGGACAGTGAACCCTAAACCTTAAACACTACACCCGAAACCGCCAACAGGGCACGGTTGCCTTTGCAACCTCCCTGAAACTTGTGCCTCCAACATCCCTAAACCCCAAAGCCAAAACCCAAAGCCCTTACAAAACCTAAGACCCCAAAACAAAAATTAGGACTTAAGGATGGGATGTTTCACCAAAAAACTAACAGTCCTTGATAGGGAGATTATAGCACCCTAAGGGGGAACATCCCCACCCTAAGACCAATCCCTGAGCCGCCCGGCCTGTGGTGGCATCCCGCCCTTCATGGTGGAGGAGGACACCTGGACCATGCCCGAGCCTGCGCCAAACAGGAGGGAGATGCCGCCTTTCTCGAGAGAGAGAGGGGAAGAGAGCAGAGAGAGCTCAAGTTGACAAGAAGCCGCCCTCTAAACTCTAAACCCTAAGCCCTAAACCCCGCGCAATCTCTTGAGTTGCAGACCTGTGCAGAATTTGCGTGCACATCTTCGGATTTTGACCCGCAATCGGACAACAACAAACCCCCCCAAAAAGATAAAAGCAAATGAAATGGAAAATAAATCCCCCCAATGGTTCAGAGGGCTTAGGGTTGAGAACCCCCTTCATCAAAAAACAACACAGGGGGGCGCCAAGAGTCACGAAGAACGTTCTGTACAGCAGAAAACAGCTCATGGCTCAACTCCACTAACTTTGGGGCTCACCTCAACAGCGTAGGATTACTAGGGATGCTGGCTTCGGCAACGTGCACGCAACACCTGGTCCAGGGCCCTCTTTGCAGGAGCCCATGAATCCGAGTCGCAGATTTTGAAGTCCCAAACAACTGATAAATCCCCAAAACTTCAAAAGTCAATGGGGATTCATGAAAATAGGGGACCGGCCCGAAAATAAACCACCACATAGGGTGTCCCTGAATCCTCACTCCGCCATCCTTGCCCCTCTCAGACATCAGCCTGGCATGTTGCCCTTGCCCGGGCCCTGCATGCCAAAATTGCCCTTGCACCTGAAGGGCACAGGCTGGTCCTTTTCCGATAGGTCGTGTTTGCAACAGATGGCTTTCTGGGAGGTTCCTTCGCTTCCTGGAGATCAGACTCTATCTAGTTTAATCCTTTCAAGATCTGCTGCGGGGAGAAGGCGGTGACAAGGCAGCGCGAAAGCGTTAACACAGAAGGCGTTCCACACTGACACGGTGCTTGGCAAGGGCAGATCATGGCAGGTCTAGCCGAATTCCCTGCCTCTGATGCAAGGAGCACTCTCTCTACCCCAAGGTACATTGTACTGTTTTAAGGAGTGCCCAGCGCACGCGAACATACGGGCCAGCGGTGCTCTGGGTGTCGAGAGCTTAGGGTTCAGGCCGGTACCCCTATTGTCAGCAACCCCCGATGTCTACATCTGCATCTATAGCGCTGTTTTTACATGAGGACATATACCCACTCACTTACCATGGACCTGGTAGGACCCTAAACGCCAGAGGAGCGGAACATGTGAACGTGAAAGCCGAGAGCGGCGCCCTTGCATGCCTGGCCAGGACAAAGATTCGGAGTTTGCGATATTTGGGGTCCCTTCTTGGGGTCCTTACTATAAGGGGATCCCTACTATTTGGGAATCAAAATTGGGGGGCTCCCTATTTTCGCAAGCCCCCATTTGAATGTGCTCGGAGCTGCAGCACTTGGAGGCTACCGGAAGGCTACTGTTGTGGGCTTGCGAAGATTCTTCCTTCATCGCTCCGAGACCCCCCAGAAAGTTTCCTAAAAGGCTCGAGTTGCGACGATGCTTTCCTCAAAGCCAGGGCTGTAGGAGGCTGCAGACGTAACACGCCACAACCCTGTCATGCTCCGTCGCACCTGTCATCATCTGCTAAGTCACATTGTACCTGTACCAAGTACTCCACATAAGGTCATTATCTAGTATAAAGGCACATTGCTACATACATGGGCATTTCCCCAAATCGGGGAACCCCTACTACACCGCAAAAATACTATAATTCTTATTAGAGGAACTCCCAAAAAGGGTAAACCCCCCATTTTCGAAAACCCCATATATATATACATATATACACACACAATTGCTACATATGTGTTTTCTATATGATGATATCTATATATATATATAGATATATATATATATACATACATACATATATATATATACATACATATATACTGATTTCTCCGATTCCGGCAATGTTGGGGGGGGGTCCTCATTATACGGCGGCCCCTCTTGTTTTGGGGACCATAGTTTCGAGAACTGACCAAAGGTGCAAACTGAGCCCGCGCCGGCCTTGCATGCCCGAGGCCATGCCCCGCATCTGCAAGTCTGCCATCTGCTGCTGCTGCATCATGCCGCGCCCCTGTGGAAAACTCAGGGTCAAGCTCTACCCCTAGGGTTTAGGGTTTAGAGTTTCGAGACGGCTGTGAACACAATGTCGCGCTTTTGGCCTAGCTCGGGTACAAGGGCATGGGGTTATTTCTGAAACTCCACAGGAAAGCCACGAAACCCCAAGGTCGGAGTTTTTGGATGCTAACCTCGCAGGGTTTCGGAAGATTCTCCAAGTCGAACTTCTCAAACCCTAAGCCCCCAAACCCTAAACCCCTAAACTCTAAACCCTACAACCCTAAACCCCTACACCCACACCACAGCAAAGTCTGTGGGGCGCGACCCCTAAAAGCCAAGCCTGTCCACAAACCCTTGCCCCGCCATCCCTTGGCAGCCGCCGCAGCCAGCAGCTTGCCTGGCGACCACCAGCGAAGGTTTGGGGTTTAGGGTTTAGGGTTTAGGGTTTCGGGTTTTGGGTTTCGGGTTTCGGGTTTAGGGTTTAAGGACATCTACTATTTGCTTAAGAACCCCCAAAACAGTATAGTCCCCATATTGCCCTGATAATTAAGTGAGTACTTTTTACTTTGCGTGATTCTTAAGCAAATCGTAGTCATGTGTATAGGGAATATGGGGTTTCCGAAGTTTAGGGGTACCTTATTGGGGTATTTAGGAAATCCTGCTATTTGGGGGGGTCCCTTACTTCTGAAGCCCTTAGCCCTAGATAAGTCTGAAAGCCCCCAAACCTCCCGCCCTACACCCAGGTAGGCTAAACCCTAAACCCTAAAACCCTAGAGCCCTAAAACCGAAAACCCTAAGCCCCAAAACCCGCAAACCCCCTTCGATGCACATACACACACGCACACACACAGAGAGTTCGCCCAAGAGCCCCCAGCTTCTGCAGGAAGGCCTCTGGAAGCTAAACCCTACAGGTCTAAATCCAAAACCCTAAACCCTAAAACTCTAAACCCTAAAACCCTAAAACCCTAACACCCCCTAAACCCTAAACCCCTCAAACCCCAAACCCTATAAAGCCCTACGCAGCCCTTATCTGCTGGAAGGCCTCTGGAGCTGCTGCATCTGAAGCTCATTGAATTGCTGGGACTGCTGCATCGTCATGCCTGTGGCTTCTTTCAATTGGGTGGGTGGGTAAGGGGCTTCTTGAGCCATTTTTTGTTTATTGATTGTTTATGTCATTTTTTTTTTTGGGGGGGGGGGTGCCTTCTGTCAATTGGGTAGCGTTGGGGGTGGTCAGGGCTATATTTTTTTTGGCGGGGGGGGGGGGGGGGGGGGGGCGGTTGTGTGACTTCTTTGGGTGGTTTAAGAGGGTGTAACTTCTTTTGGGTGGTTTAAGAGGGTGTAAGCCTTGTTTAGTTTTACGTTTTTTTTTTTTTGGGGGGGGGGGGGGGGGTAGGTTCTTTGGGGGAGCTTTTCTTTTTTTTTTGGGGGGGGGGGGGGGAGGGGGGGTAGGGTTCAGGTATCATTATGGAGTTTACGGTTGTAAAGGGTTCTGGGCTCCTGGTTCTAGGTTTTGGGGTTCTGTTCATCGGCTCTTCTTTGAAACGCCTGATCTCCACAAGCCGAAAGGTGGCTCCTCTCCTAAACCCTAAACCCCAAACCCCAAACCCTAAACCCTGAACGCTAGACCCTCACCCTTCCAAAGAAGGCTCCCCTCCAACATCTCAGGCTCCGACCTCCCATCCCCTGGCCCATGCAGCCGCCCATGCCTTGTCCCATGCCTGGAGGGCAACTCTCCGAAATTCCGGAGTGATGGGGCTTTAGGGTTGAGGGTTTGGTGCTTTGGGGTTGAGTGCTTAGGGGGATTTTAGGGTTTCGGGTTTGGGGGGAGGTGAGGGCCTAGGGAGCTGCTTGCGAGGCGCGACTCCGCAGGCCAACCAGCCCAAGCTCTTTCCTAAAAAATAAACCCTAAACCTGAACCCTGAACCCTAAATTCCCTAAATCCTTAGAACTTCTCAAGAAGCCTAAAACCATCTCCTAAACCCAAAACCCAAAACCCTCTCATAACAAAACTCTTTCCTATGAGGCAATTTCGTGTGCCATTCCTGGGAACCTCACACCGCAGGAAGCGTCTTGAACTCGAGGGAATATATTGACTTAGCTCTCCCCCAAAGCCTCTCGAAAGCCCCATTAAACCCGAAACCCTCAGAAACTTTCCTCTAGAAGGCCTAAACCATCTCATACTCTCTCTCAAGCGACTCTAAGACCGTCTCCTTGGACAAGCACAAGCTTCCGGCCTCCTCCGCCTTGGCCCATGCCCTCAAGAAGGGAGGAGTTGGGGGCTCCATTTCAGAGACTCTGATTCTTTTCCAAGTTTTCAAGTACTGGGGGGTGGGGGCTACGTGGGTGGCATCGTCTTTGTCTTGTTTGGGCTTTCCGGCGGTCAGATGGGACTGGCGGGTCCGCTGCTTTGCGTCGTGACAGCCTGGCGATTTTAGCTGCCTCTTGGGGTTGATCTACTTGACGGCCCCTCTTTGCTACCCCAAACCCTAAACCCATACCCTAATGAGCCCCACATATGATAAGGGAGGAATGAATAGCCTTGCCTGCATTGCGAACTGGCCGCCACCACCGCGCATGGCCATGCTGGACATGTCCTGCTTGCAGCCAGATTTGCACACCACTGCTACCCCAACCTCTTCTCCCGAAACCCCTGACCAAATCCGGCCATGGCCAATGATGGAACTGACTACTGCCGTGCTTCAATAGGCATGGTGTCCCAATGCCTTGGTGTGACTGGCTTCCCCTGAGCCCTGCACAAAGTCCCACAGTGCGCCTGCATCTGCTGCTGCTGCATGTTCGGAAACTGGCCCATGCCCTGCTGGCAAATGTTATTGCCCGGTATGGGGGTTTCCGAAAATTCATAGGGGTACCCTTTTGGCCTTTTGGGGTGTTCCCATAATCGGAATTATAGTCGTTTGGGGCATAAGGGGCAACCCGGTTCTCGGGAATTCCCTCTATCTCGCAGTTTAAAAAAAATCGCTAGGCCACGACGCCATGCCGACGTGCCAAAAGCTCTCTTGCCCAGACGGAGTCAGGGTTTAGCAAACGGAGTCAGGGTTTAGGGTTTAGGGTTAGGTGTGGTTCGGTGCAGGATCGTTTGAGCTTGGGAAGCCGGGGTACCACAAGAGCAGCAGACTTACATAGGAAGTAGGAATGTTGCCTCACAGAGAAACATGATCTGCTTAAACGGCACAGAAACCTGATGCAGGAGGCAACAAGTTCAAGCGTGTCACCAAGTGTACAGCAAACAGCATTTGCGGCTGCAACATCCCATCGGAGAGACCGTTCTGCTTCCTTTTCACGACTATTTCCTTAAGAAGCCACCAAAAACGAGACAATCATCCCTGTATGGCCCTTATAAGGATATGGCCCTTATAAGGAAGAGTGTTTTTGACCTTTTTTATCCTTCTTTTTTTGGGAGGGGGGGGGGGGGGGGGGGGGGGGGGGAGGGGGTTCTCAAGCAAATAGTAGTTCGGAGAGTCGGAGAACAAGTTGATCGCTACCACCCCCTCCCCCCTCACCTCTCATCTCAATGGAATCAAAACCACGCGAAACCGACCCATGCGTCACCTGCATCCCCTGCTGAGGCATCATGCCCATGTTGCCCTGCAAGATGAGGAAGGGTTTAGGGTTTAGGGTTTGGGGTTTGGGGTTTGGGGTTTAGGGTTTAGGGCGGTTAAGGGTTAGGCGGACGAGCAGTCCTATGCTTGCTGCTGGAATCTCAGAAATAGACTGTTGATGTTTACCCGCATTCAGCTTCTCCATTTCTATCCTTCCCTATCCTCCTGGACCCGATGCTAGATCGGAAGGATGCAATAAAAGAAGCCTCAGAACTGGTAAGGGTGTTGAGACTTGCTGCTAGGATGGGATTGTAGGCCCCTGTTAGGTTTGGGGTTTAGTAGAAGCCCAATAAGCCCAGACCCACAACTCCTCGCAAAGGGACCTGTGTATTGCCCGTATGAGCCTCAACCCTAAACCCTAAACTAAGCCCTATAGAAAAGTCAAGCACAACATACCCCCACAACCCTAAACCCTAACTCCGAAAGGGACCTGGGGGTTGCCCTGCATCTGCATCTGGGGCATGGCGTTCTGCTGTGGAGGCTGCGCGGCCTGCGCCAAGCACTGGCTAAGCCAGGTGCCTCCCCCAAAATCCGACCCCAACCCCCTTTGGGTTTAGGGTTTAGGGTTTAGGGTTTAGGGTTGAGGGCTTAGAGCTTAGAGGGTTTAGGGTTTAGCTAATTCTGTTTTGGGCTTAGCGCTTTCCGGCTCCCCTGCCACAAAGAACTAAGGCAGGCACCTCTTTAAGATGTCTATTCTGGACATGTAGACCGTGACGGGGACACTATTGGAAATTGGCTAAGCTCCCGTGCTACCTCCAACGTGCTTTCAAACATCTTTCTCGCTACACTGGCAACGCGTTGGCGCAGAGGCCGCTTGGTGACACAGCCCTCTATCCGCAGCTGCAGGGCCACTCTCAAGGCACACTCTCATGACATCAGATCTCAAGATGGAAAGTGCAACAGATTGGGGCCATGGATCAAAAGTGCAGATTGAAACCCCAAACCCTAAGACTCTAAGCCCTGAGCTCTGAACCCTGAACCCAATACTCCGAGCCCGAACACCAAGAACTTGAAACCCTGCCGGTGCTGGTGGCTCGAGGCCCGTCCTTCCAAACTAAACCCTAAACCCTAAACCCTAAACCCTAAACCCTAAACCCTAAACCCTAAACCCTAAACCCTAAACCCTAAACTGCCCTAAACCCCAAACCCTAGACCCTGTTGAAAGCTTCAGGGTGTCGGCTTCGGGCTTTCGGATCAGGGTAGTGATTTCCACCCTCTAGGGCCCTTCCAAAATACTAGTCGGGGTTTAGGGGCTCTAACGGTTTAGGGTTTAGGGTCTAGGGGTTTTTTAGGGTTTCGAGAAAGGCTTGCTTGAGGGCCAAGATCGCGAGCCGCGATATGGGGGCTCTCTACTTTCTGGTCCCATGTGGGTTGTCCTGAATGTATGGAAAGGTCTGAATGCAACAGGTGGAGTCTAAACAGTCTAAACACGTATTTCGGACACCCCCCCCCCCACCTCCAAAAGAAGAATCAAAAATAATTCCAAGGGAGCCAGCCGGCTCCATCGCGACCTTGTCAGAATTGAAGCCGCCGAACCCCGCCGAAAACATGAAAGCCTGCTGCGCATGTCATGGTCACCAAGCCTCCATCAAGAACTGGGTCCAAATTTTCAGGTCCTGGTTCGGCAGCTGAGAGTGCACACGCTCCAACGAAGCTTCCCCTCGCATTAAGCCACCTGCCTGACACTTGAAGGACTTGAAGGACTTGACATTGAGGGGTTGTGTGCGGGACTTGATGTCTTCACAACCTCACTCTGGCACCCCTGTCATTATGCCACGAAAGAGCAAGGATGACTCTTTCCAGGCCCCCGATTGCCTGCAACTACCCCCAAGCGAAGACATGGGGTCCTGCGCGGGAAACTTCGGGAAGCTCCCATTGCCGGATGCATACTCGGAGAATTTGGTGGTGATCTGAGAGGCAGATGTCGGATTCGGAGGACAAGCCCTCGGTCTAGCAGGCCTTTCAAAGAGGCATCTTCTGGAACCTATTGGGCGCTACAGGGTTTCTAGTGTTTTGGGCCAGGTCTGCCAGGTCCTTAGGGCCCGGCATCCGCCACCAAAGTGTCGTCCTGCGCTTTCCGCACGATCCTGGCAATCCGGCATGTGCTCAACAGACTCTCTCCACGACCTCCCTCCCCACACCCTCAACCCTAAACCTCGCTGCTCGAGCTTAAGGTTCGTCATGTTGCCACACAAGGCATCATCGTGCCAAAACAGCCCAACCCTAAACCCCAAACCCTAAATTAACCCTAAAGCCGAAACCCAAAGCAGACCGGTTTCTGCTTGGAGTGTCTGGGTCTCTCTCTCTCTCTCTGTTTCTGTCTGGCTCTCCCTCTCTTGTATCTCTTGTTGTATCTCTGTGTCTGCGGGTCTCTGGATCTCTGCAGGCAAAACACGTACATGTTCGCACGGCGTGTCTGCCGCAATTCATGCCTGACAGCCTCCAACAATGAGAAGGAGAGCTCCCAGTGCTTGTTTAGGAACCTCCCTAGATAGCTCCATCCTTCCAACGCTAAACGGAAAAGGCACAAGCATCATAAGCGTAACAAAACCCTAGAGGTCCTAGAGGGCATACCGAAACCCTAACCCCATAAACCCTCACCTAAACCCAAGAAGACCCTACACCCAAAAAAACCTAGCACCCTAAACCCAGTAAACCCAGTAAACCCTACACCCCCACAAAAACCTAACCCCCCCCCCCCCCCCCCCGCAAAAAAAAAAAAAAAACATGTAACCCTTAAACCCCTCCCCAAAAAATCCTAACACCAAAAAGATTCTGCAACCCTTCAACCCCTCCCCAAAAAAAACTAAATCCCCAAAACAAGACCCAACAAACCCTACACCCAAAAAACCTAAAACCCTACACCCTGAACCCAAGGAGCTCAACCCAACAAAAAAAAAACACCTATAGAAACCTTCAACCCTTCTCCCTCAGCCGGGCCTTGAGAGTGCACCGACCAGTGTCGCCATCTGGGCCGGGTTGAACTCGGATAGCCTCCCGAGTTAGACATGGCTGGAGCCTAAGGAGCTGGTCTTACTCTGTTTTGTAGGGAGTACCTTAGCCGAAAAAGGCTTTACCTTTCATACTACGTAGGGCTGTATAACCAAAAAGGTTAAAGGGTACCTAGTGTACCCCGGCCCGAAGAGATATGTACATAAATAAATACATAGATAAATTGTTTTACTTCGAACATCCCCACCTCTCTTGGTAGAGATACTCTGGGGTTGGGCACTCCAGGGGGGGGCCGCTTTGGGCACTCCAGGGACACTTAAAAAAATGATACATATAAATACAAACAACCTCCCGCCTAAGAACCAGTAGATTCAGGGCTTAGGGGGGGGGGAGGGGGGTGTTTCCAGGCGCCCTGTCCACCTCCTGTACGAGCCTGCCTCTGAAAACTCTACCATTTCATGGCTTGCCTCTAGTCTTTCGGAGGACGCGCCAAGTTGAGCCCAAACTTGCTGAATCCAGTCTGTTCCCCCACCCACCCCGCCCCCCCCCTAATCCGCAGCATCTCAAAGAACCTTGAGCTAGGCTTCATCAGGGCCTGTAGTCATTCTAGGCTCCATGCGCACGGCACAGCACGTCAGTGCATCCCAACCTCACGTACCTCAACCAGAGTGCTGCAACGCTGAAAACCCTAAAACATCTCCACAAGGCAACACGCCTCGCCCGCGCTTGGCCACCTAACTCCATCGCATACTCCGCGGCACGGTCGTTTCTCTGGACCTATCGCGGGTGAAAGCTTTCGGGTGGGTCCGGAGCTTTGGGGTGCTTCGGGATTACCGGTTCTCAGGGATAAATCGGGCTTTGTCGGGGTTGACTCAAGGCTCTGGGTATCACAGCACAAAGCGCCTCCTCTAGAGCGGCCAGCGCCCAAACGACGCGGCTTGCCTGTTCGGGAGTCTCTCGGAGGCGTATAGGGGTTTCCGACATTAGGGGGTTCTTCTTACAAGGGAATCCTACTATTTGGGGACTATATTCGGGGTCGCTTATTTTCGTAAACCTCCATTTGTATCACAGAGAATCTCCCGACTTGCGCTTTCGTGCTGTTGAGACTGGGCATTTTAGAACTAGACTTTTGGGTGCCTTGCACGGGTAAGGCTACAAGCATCCAGCTGTAGGTTTCAGCACGGATTTCACACAGACACACACACACACACAGAGACACACACACACACACACACACACACACTTGCATCCTTCAAGCAAACAGAAAGGTTGAGGGCTTTCTCGCATTCTGCAGCGCTGGACAGGGCACCCATTGCTGCGGACTGGTTCAGAGCTAACGTCTGTTCACTACAGGCGATCCAGTCTGTAGATCCTTCGCAGCTAAACGCCACGAGCAGTCAGCTTGCAAACTGCTACCAGGGGTGGTGTCTGAGTTCATATAAATGAACCTGACACCGGATCTCGATCCACCACCTCACCTCATGAGTTGCAGTCTGTCATCCAACCCCTGCGAAAAACACAGCACAGAGGGGTCTGGCCGCATTAACACTCTCCTGCAGCCCACTACTATAGGGGCCTTAATAATTAGAATGGGGTTTTGGGGGGCCATGAAAGTAAAACAAATTACACGGACCCTAAGGAGGTGCTACTAGTAATTATGCCGACCCCTAGACTGCAGTGACCATAGCAGGCAGGAGAGGCCAGCGCAAACAGGATTGCTTTTTTTGGGATGGGGGAGTTAGAGATTCACGGGTTCAGAGTGTTCACAGTTTTTCGGGGGTTTAGGGTTTCATTGTAGCGTTTCGGGTTCAGGGTTTGGAGATTCGGGCTTAGGGATATTGCCCTCTCTGAAGCCAGCGTCTGAGCTCGCGCGTCTGAGCTCGCGCCTCTTCTGCCGTGAGCGACTTTGACTGGATGGTTAGTACCTCTGTTGCTTGGTGGGATCACGGAGGGGGCAGGGGCCTCAAATCGTAGGATTCCCGTATAATCAGGACCCCGAAAAGGTACCCCTAATTTCGGAACCCCCGCCTTCGTGTACAGAGCCCTTGCCCCAGCAAAGCAATTAGAAGATGGGCCCTGCTCTGGGATTCTAGAAAACTGCCAGTAGAACCTTGCACCTGCATCCACCGCTGTTCAGTCCAAGGAGCTCTCTCTAGGAGGGCCATGGCTAAGCCAGTGTTCCTGCACAACAAAGCATCTGAGCAGATGAGTACAATCACAAGACGTATAAAAAGAGAGGGTCTGATGGAGGCGTTAGAGAGGCCTTAGGCTGGTGACCCGCCCCAATCCTAACACAGAAGCTGCCACGTCGCGCTCCAGATTTCAGTTCTTCTGCAGTGTATCGTGCCTCAATACTCACCCCTGCCAGTAAGCTTGCCAGAATCTTCGTACACGAGCCTAGAATTTCATGGCCAATACACTTCCCCTACAACCCCTCTAAAAAAAAAATCAGGGGCTGCGACATAACGAACAGCCCTAAGCCCTAAGGCCTAAGCCCTAAGCCCTAAACCCTAAACCCTAACCACTGAACGTCTGTTAGGTGGGGGGGCGACTGACAAAAAAACCTGAACGGCCCCGAGAGCTCTGCCGCCCTCCGAGGAGCGAACTTGGGCTCCGAATCGTCTCCTTGGCCCAGAAAGGCTTTTGGGGGTTTACAGGGGGTTTAGGGTTCAGGGTTTATAGGGTTTAGGGTTTACGGATAGGGTATACAAGGCTTACAGGGGTTTACAGGTGAGAAGGTTTACTAGGTTTAGAGGGCAAGTACTGGGTCTAGAGGGCTAGTTTACGACAATAGGGGAGGATTCCCTGATAATAAGGACCCCAAAAAGGTACCCCTAATTTCGGAAACCTCCAGAAACCTCCAATAAGGTCGAGGCGTACTACGACGAGAAATCGCAGTCGAGAGTCGAGGCTTCTGCCGACAGAGGCCCAACTGGTAGAGCGCCGCCACAACCTCTTTACAGGGTTTTGAGTGGGAGGGGGAGTTCCAGGGGGATAGGTAACCCAAGGTTCCCTTGTACTCCCTACTGCCCCACTGCTCCCTAAGGCTCCCTAAGCTTCCCTCAGGTTCCCTAGGTACCTTACCCCCCTTGAACCCCCCCTCCCTAGAACCCTCTAACCTTTGGGTTTGGGGAATGAGGAGAAACAAGGAGACAGGCGCCGAAGACTCAAGAACAGCGCCTACCCAAGACACAGCTGCCTGAAACCATCTCACTAAAACCGCCTAAGCAAGAGCGCCTCAACACCCCCCACCCCCCGGAACAAAACAACCACCTGAAGGGTTAAAGCAAAGGATTCACCCTCACACCCCCCCGGAACTCTGCCCCCCCCCCCCCTTCTTTTTGGGCATCCAGGCATGCCCCTTCGTGAAGTGCTGGCCATACCTGGGCTGGGGCTTCAGACTCCAACAGGATTCGCCCCTCACGCGGGCTCCGATCTCTGCTTTCGTGTCGGACCAAGGTCAACATCCAAAAAGGCGCCCGAAAAGTCGTAAAAGCAGACCCCCCCCCCAAAAAAAAAAAGGAAGCCGCGCTGCGTCTCAATGATGTCGTTAATGGCCTGTTCCGTGTTGCACTTTCGGAGCTCTTCCTGCAAAGGCTCTTCGCAAACACTCTGGGACTCCGCCTCATCTCGCTATCGATGTCGGATTCGGGTAGATTCGGGGTCTTCCAGTTCCGGGCGGGGGGGTGAAAAAAAAGCCGACTTGGCTCTGTGAGGGCTCTTTGCACGAGAGCCTACCGTTGCGACATTCTCAGCGCGCCCCGCGTCCTCGAACTGCGGAAGCGTCGTGTCCGAAGCCTTCGGTGAGGATGGTCAAAAAGGATTTCTTACAGGCTTCTGGGATTCTGCGGACTCTGTGGATCCAGGTCTGAAGCAAGGGATTTCTTATGTAATTCATAATATGAAACGGATTGACAGGAATTGAGGCATCCTGTGAAAAGGACGTGTTTGATGCCCAGCTCCAGGCACAGGGGGCACGGAAGCAGACTGGAATCATTGAAGCAACCCTACCGGCAGGCCACCGCCGGCCTGACTCTACAAAAACCCTAAAACCTTGAACTCTAAACCCTACAGACCCTGAACCCGAAACCATGCCGGGAGCTGAAAACCCTGAACCCACTCCTCAGTCTTTCGGGCCCGGGCCGGGGGCTCGAAAGTGCTCCTTGCCACAGGGCTTCGACAAAGGGGGCTGATAACGGCTGAGTGCCACTGCTGGAGGATCGCAAAGGGCAGAGTCTGGAGAGCCTTTGATTATACCTCGAGGACCCGGAAGCAATTCCCAACTTGGCTTAACTACAGTCGTCTTGGGCTCCTTTGGCCCAACCCTCACAACCACAATCCGAAACGCAGGACACCCCAATCTCCTGAAATACTCCTGTTGCACGAGTTTACCCATCAGAAGTGCACAGCCAAAGGGACAAAACCGACAAAGAACGACTGGGCAGTGGAGATCTCAGATGATTCCAAAATAAAGCAACAAAGCTCCTCTGACTTTTCTGACTCCCCTGTTCACTTGAGCAAACCACTGCAAAGTTGCTCAAAGAGCCTGACAAGCCCCAATAAACGGGGATGGATTTCGAGAGCACGCCATAGTTGAAATCCCATTTCAAGCCCGGTCCCTGCAAGGAGCCCCCCAAGGCAACAGAGCACGCTTTCTTACTCCGATGCTTCGCTCTGCAGCAGACGCACTCAGCAACTTACGGAGAGAGCGAGCGAGAAGCCCCGATCCTGACCAGCAAAGGCCCTGAAGCCCCCTCGTAAGCCCCCGTTATCCGTTGCTGCCTCCTGCTCTCTTTCCGAATCCTGATATCACTCTAGGCATTTTTTGCGCTACAATCGCTTAAGGGGGTGGGGAAGTTGTGATGACATGAGGCGGCATATCGAGGCTTGCTCAAGTCTCCATTTCTGCGTCAGAGGCTGCAGGCAGCACGAGCAAAACGGACCCAGAGCTCCGAACCGAAAACCGGTACATGGTGGGCCCAATCATGAGCCTCCTTATAATATCAATATATATATATATATATGTATGTGTATGTATATGTATCTGCTGTATATTCAAAAATATTTACCAAACAATAAAGCGGCTCCCCTTCAGAGCCCCTTACATCGGCTCGGAACTGGCCAAATGCGCACTTGCTGTGGCAAGACGCCGCAGGCTCGCACCTCTGCACTAAACTCGAGGGGCATGGCTTTTGAGGGTTTAGGGTGGACCAAACTCACTCGAACACGGGATCAATCGCCTTTGGCGACTTCCTTGCACTCTGTGCTTGCTCGAGCGGGGGGCGGGGGGGCAAACGTACCTTCCCAAAGTGATATGAAGCCGTTTTGTAACATTTGAAAGTTCGGAGGACGGCACTTCTTGAGATCCTGAAGCACGTAAGCAACTGGGGCTAGGGGCACTTGGCTAAGGAGTTTACTGCCATGTGTAAACATAAACAACCCCGAACTGACGAAATGGAATATTTCCTGCCGGAGTGGGATCAGAAGAATGGCGAAACTCATCTGCTGCACCTTCTCGCTCAGTAGTCGATGGCCTTGGCTGCTAAAGGCTTGGGGCTTCAACTAACGGTGCAGAACACTGAGACCTGCCATGACTTATGTTCTGCTCTACAAAACTCGCAACAGCAATCACGAGCCTCCACAGCACACCGCAGGTATTGCATTTTTCACAGCGATCGGCCCCCAAACTACTCACAAACACCGTCAAACAATGAGTCACACGCAGCCTACGGGAGCGACACTACCCCTTCGCGACGGCAGTCTGCCTGAAACAGGAGTCTTTGGCCCTAAACCCTAAACCCTAGACCCTAAACCCAAAACACTTTGCAGTCGCAGCTGCAGTCTTCTCCACTTTATAGCCCATCTCGTCATCCTCCCAGTCGCAGCTCCCGGGGGCCCAGGCTGAGGGAAATGTGGGCCACGGGGTTGGCCTTACAAAAACCTTCCCTAAGCCCAAAACGGCAAAGCATGACAACAGTCGCAGCTGAAATTGGGGCACAGGGAAAACCACCGTCATGTGCAGACACCGAAACAATGATCTATCCCACGGGACCTACCTATGCAAGCACGGCAAGCACAACGAAAACCCAAAAGGCTCAGCTGCGAAAATGCCGAGGCAAGGCGGACTTCGAGATGTGAAGGTTTAGGGCTCAGATTCAAGGATCTCCCTACCCACCTGGGGGTCGTAGGGGGGCAGGGGTGGGAGGGCTCTTGACGCTCAACCAGGGTTTAGGGTTCAGGGTTAAGGGACAGACCTACAGGTTAAAGTGGCTCTTGTGTCTTGTGGTAAGCACCTCGTCGACAACCCTGAAACGCCCGGGAGAGGGCTGTCCTGCGTCAGCAGGTAGGACTCCGGATGCCGAAAGATTCCCTGCCAAAGCGATTGCAGCGTGTGGGTGTTGGGGAGAGCTTCATAGCTGAGGGATTGAGAATATCTATCTATCTGTCTTTCTTTCCATCTGTCTATCTATCTATCTATAAAAGCTCATATATGTGTGTGTGTGTGTGTACATGTGTATATATATATATATATATTTTTTTATTTATTTATTTATATACATGCATGGATGTGTAGGCGCTTGCATCAGGTGCCTATGTGTTTAGAGGCAGCGTGGTGCTTCAGCTTGGACTCTGGTACTCAGTCCTGCGCTCGTATTAACCATGCAAGTGGCAGTGGTTGGTTTGACGGACGTCTTGCAGGCAACGGAACGATGCGATCGGACCTGCCTGAAACATTTCGGCGAGCTTGGCATTTGTGGCAGCGAAATCCTTGCGCGCCCCGCCCGCCCACACACACACTCCGGAGAAATAAGAAATAGCTACTGTGTGGAATCTCCGAACAAAAGGAATACTACGAAGCTTGTTCAACACCATTAGAAGCCCTAAACAGACAACTTTGCAAGATCATGTAGGTGCTGCCGAGCAGCTGTCCGCTTGGCGGTGAGCATCATGAAACTCGGCTGAGGCTGATGTAGGCTTTGCTTGGGCGTCCGGATAAGGTTCGTGCCAACGCACTTGGCCTTCCTACCCTGAATATATAGATAGATTAGTAAGAAGGCGGAAATTGCGCGTGGAGCGCTTCTTTTTGGGCATCATCTAATCGAACTCTTGAGTTTGAGGGCGCTGCTCAGAGCTTCCCGAAAGAATGTCTTGCAAATCCTCAGGCTCAGTGGCAATCTGGGAGCAATAGGGCAACAGCCCCCGTCTGAAAACATAACACAAACCGCATTCAGACTACAGAAGTATTTAGGACTTCTGTGGGGGGACAAAAACCAAAGAAACCGACGCGCACGACCTGGTTGCCAAATTGAAGTGCATGACCCGACACAAATTCCAACTGACAGATGACTCGGTAGAAGTAAATGTTTAGGGTGCCCTCTGTTCATGTAGACTTCTGACCGCGAAACGCCACCCCCAACCGTCAGAGAATCACAACAGTACCCTCTCCAAATCATTCCGCGTCAATGTTGGCGGCTCGAAACCACCCCACCCCGTCTTAAGCAACGATCCATAACCCTCTCGACTCCAATAGGAAACCTTACCAGGACCCCACCCAAACCCGAAACCCCTAAACCCTAAACCCCTAAACCCCCCTAAATCCCCCTAAACCCTAAACCCCTGAACCCCGCTAAACCCTGACTGAACCCCCAGACCCTATAAACCCTATAAACCCTATAACCCCTGTAAACCCTAACTATAAACCCCATAAACCTTGACCTTCCGAGGAGCCCCAGCTTGGCCCACTTGCCACCACCGTACTCAAGCGCCTCGGGTCCAAGGTGGCCGGCTTTGTACCTCAAATGCCCGAAAATAAAGGAAATGCTCCAACAAGGACTTTAGGGTTTAGGTTTAGGGTTTGTAGGGCTTTTAGGGTTTGGAGTTTTGGGTTTGTAGGGTTTATAGGGATTTTAGGTTGAGGGTTTCGTGTTCGCAGCAACTTGTTGGGGTGAAAGTGCACGGAGCTGAGCAAGAAGAGCCCTCAACGACCCAAAGCCCCTCCTTCAGTTTCTCGGAGCGGAGCAGCGTGCCACTTGTCACGGCTCATGGGTTTGGCCCTCGAAAACTGACCCTGACCTCGGTCCTCCCCAGAGAAAGTCGGCAAAAGACCTTGGGGACCAGATGAACCCTAAAATTCGGGTCATATACCCTCTCTACTACTGTGATTCCCAATTCAGGCTACATGAGCCCATATTCCCTTTTAGCCCTCCTTTCGTCCCCAAGGAAAAGAGCTCCTCAACTCGCCCTCTCCCCTCTCTCTCAGCAGTCCGAGTGGCGCAGGCTTCGGGATCCAGCACTCAGCCTTGCCATCCTCTCAAAAGGGTTTAGGGTTTTTGGGTTTAGGCCATGAGCGTGAGATCTTGCACTTTCTGAGTCTTTTTGCCTCTTTGTCGCATGGGTTCGTGCACTGAGGTCGATAACATACTGCCGGCCCCGTGCTCGATCCTGCATCCCACAAACTGAGCTGCCTGAGAGTTAACACATATATACGCACGCGTTGCGATGGTGAAAGGCGATCCTCAAGAAAGAGGCAGCATGCCAGGGCCCGCAACGCTGCGCCAAAGACTTCGAGCTTCTTTCGACCAATCCTATAATAAGCGTAGCATCCAATACCAGAAAGGAACTACCCATCATTCCAAGCAGAATTCGCAGCAAGCCGCACTCGGACTTGCTGCCACACGGGCCACGGCCTTCGATTGCAGTATGCTTATGGTTCTGGAAAGTTGTACACAAGCTTTGTGTCGGGCATGCTGTGGCCTGCCACCCGCGTGCAGCAAGCACGGGCAAGAGAGAGACGGAACTGTGGCGTTGGGTGCCGTACTACAGGGCCCGACGCTGTCTCAACAAAGCGGCGCTGCATCTTCCTGTTCAATTACACTGCCTCACTGTCTCTATTTGCAATAGTTCCGTTGTCAGGCTTAGCAATGGCCGCTATGCTCACTCCCGACACCGAGAAAGAGCAAGAGGATTCAGATGCCGCCGGAGACGGTGCTCGCGCATCTGGCTCGGATCTGCGTGCACCCAGCCTGAACCTGCGAGTCTGGCTCATCCTCAAAGGCACCTCCAGCACGCCATGCTCCAGTTTGATGCTTTCTTCGCAGACCTGAAAGGTGCCATCGGATCTGTCGAAGTCGAAATCCTTCTGCCAGGCACCGTGGTGCTGCAAAATGGGCTGCACAGGCTCCACCGTTTCCTCGTTGATGGGCCGCTTCTTGTCGATCATGATCTTGACACCATTGGTGAGCACTTGGAAGTCGACATCGTTCTCGGAAACTCCCGGGCATTCGACACGAACGAAACGTATTTTCTCCGAGTCTATCCTCTGGTCAAAGACATTTGTGGTGGGGCGGAAGCTGACATCGTGGGGGGTGATCTCGCCCAAATGGGGGTTGATCGATATTCTTGTTCCGACGAGTTACGTAAACATACCCCTTGCGCCCGCCCTTGCGCGCGCTTGCGCACTTCTTGCGCGCACACCAGTTTTTGCATAATATCTTGTGTTACATTCTAAACCCTACATATAAACCTAAAATTTGTATTGATATATTAACTATGCCCCCTGCGCGCACTTGCGCCCGCCCTTGCGCCATGTTTGGAAGGCTTTTACAAAAGTGGTCTTATGAATAAATCGCGTCTGTAGTACTACGTCAAGAGCGGGGGGTTTAGAACAACCCTCAAATCCGAGATGACGCCCCTCGTTTTCATGACGACCTTGGCATTTTCCGGCGATGACTGCAATATCATGGAGCCCACATGCACATAGCCCTCCGCCGCCTCCCCCTCCTTCGCGCAGAACCTCACAGAGATCGCTTGCGTCGGAGGCCGGACACGCCAGCGGCCACTTCGGGCACGCCTGCTTCGATGCTGGCGAACTTCGGCATCAGCTTAGACAACTCTGTGCTGAAGGCCTCTCCCAAGGCCAAGTGCGAACCCAGGATGCTGCCATGCTCCAGGCTTTGCAAGAGATACTCCCTGTTCTTGCTGTTGAACTTATCGCCAGCTGCAGAAAACTCCTGGCACAGCCCAATGTGATGGACCGGAGGCGTCCCTTCGCCAGCATCGGCCGTGAAGATCAGGTCGCCCAGGTGTGACAGAATGCCATCATAGCACCCCGTGACCTGCCGCTCAAACAGGGCACGTGCATCTTCCACTTGGGAGGTAGTGCTCAAGTTGTGAACGACAATCAGCTCCCGGTGCTGCCTGCGCTGCACGTACTTCTGGTGCAACTCGGCGATTTTCTGTTGCTCAAACCACGTCGTGTCACTTACCACAAAGATCATGTGATGAGCGACGCGGGAGATCATCTCCAGGACCAGCGTCTCGGTGTTTCGGGCATCCCAAATCGAGTCGACTGCCTGCGCGCGGTAGGAGACCGGTGACTGGACACCGGCGGAGTCGATGATCAGCATCCGGCGGTCCTCTACCCAAAGGAAACTCAAGCCTTTGGTGGTATGAAGCTTTAGTTGACGCCAAAGAGCTTGTTCAAGAGCCATGTCTTCCCCTTGTCAAAAAGACCTACCACTGCCACGATGCGGAAATTCCCTTGCTGCACGACATCCAGCTTGGACTTGATGTTCCTCGAGAAGTGGATCTCTCACGTAGAGAGGAACTCCGACAATGAGTCGAAAGCCAGGATCGCATCGTACTGAGTGCCCGCAGCCCTCGCAAGTCTTCTTGCCGGCGCCGCTCTCTGCGCATTTGCTTGATGCGCCAAAGGCTTTGGGCACAGGAAACGGCGGCTACGAGCTTCACATGTCGCTGATGCCTCGCAGTCGCTGCCAGCGCCACCTTCAACCGCCGTCGGCTGAAGAACCTCCGGCAAGAGGACTGGATCTTCGCAGCAGCCACGTCCAGACACTGGGCGGCCGCAGGGGCCTCGGTGCTGTGTATGCCCATCAGGGCTCGGAGGTGCAAGATTTCCTCCTTAAGCTCTCGCTGAGATTTCTGGCATTCCTCGTCTTGCAGGTCTCGGAGCGCCCGTGCCGTGGCTGCCGATTGGCTCTTTCCAGACCACAGTCACCGTGATCACCAATGGGCACGACAGGCTCGGCAGCGCGAACTGCAAGAAGTCCGACGACCACTCTCCAGAACGGGTGTGATCGAGGGTCTTGCTCACCGACCTGAGCCTGACCTGCACAAAAGCAAGCCTAATAAGACAAATGCGGAACTTGCAATGACCATCTGGGTCACCGTTGTGTCCACGAGGAAAGAGCAACATTTGGCAGTCTCCCGTATAGTACAGCAAGAAGGTCTTGGAGACAGCGGCAGAGTCTTGAGGCACGTCCTGCAGATCTCCAGCTGCCAGGTGCCATGTCGCCTGCAGGCCCTAAACCCTAAACCCTAAACCGCAATGGTGCAAAGACAACAAAAAATCTGGTTGTTGGGACAGCTTCGCACCTGCACCATGCTTGGGTGCACGATCACGGTCCCCACATCGTGCGCATGGTACCGGTAGGACATCTAGCACACGAGGGGTGTCCCTAGTGCTCTCGGCCCTGGATCTTGAGCTGGAGATTGCTGCAAACACTGGTTCCAAGTGGCTCTGAAGCAAACGGCTTTGCGGGCTCACGGTGTTGTTCGATCGCACATGTTTTGGCACTTGGCTGCGAAACATGTGAGGAAAAAAAGGCCGGCAAGCTTTCTAAAAGTGATGGGCTTTGCACATAACTTCCCGTGTAAGGTGGGGGCCCTGACAACGACGACCAAGAACGCCGGTGCCCAGTTTTGCAGGAAATTCTGGTAACGATGGCACCATGTGGTCACCTGCAGTTGGAGCCGGGTGTCCCCCAAGTGTTCTGGGCCTGTGGTGCATGCAGTGCCCCCTTGGTCGGGCACGGAGGTGTGCTGGGATCTTGGCCCGAGCTTTTGACGTACGCCCAACATGGGATGTTTCACAAATCTCGTAGTGAGGCGTGGGTATGGCGAAAACAGAAGCCATGGCACCACCCATGTAGGGGACTGAGAGCAGCATCAACTACTGACAAGTCGCCACAGCACTCGGAACTCGAAGACTACATATCTGCATGGAGCGGTGTCGTTCTTAGGGTTTGGGCTTTGGGCTTTCTGCCATGAAAGTGAAAGTCACACAGGCTCGAGGTCCTCCAAGTACTTGTTCAAGAAGGCTGTGTCGACAATGTCCTCCAGCTTTCCGATCTTGTTGGTATACCTGGACATATATACGCCCTAAATACCCTGCAAACCCGGCAATTCGACCCTTTACGCCCTGCAAACCCTATTATGAATACCCTACAATCGCCCGACTATGTGAGCAAGCTCGTCAAAAGAGACCTCGAGCTCAACTCGCTTTGGGGCTCGACAAACCTTAGACTTAAGCTGCAAGACCGTCTGCTGTTCAGGGCCCGAGGCCTCGTTGTACTGAAGATAAGATGCCTTACCGAATGACCCCTTTATCCCAGTTGCACAGCCACCGCCAGCTTCGAGACCACGTTCCTGCAGGTGCAGGGTGCAAGCTTCGAGCATCTGAGGCGTGTGCGCGTGGTCGAAATCTATCATGAAAGGTTTGCCTTCGCGGGGGCTCCGTGGCTTTTGACCATAAAGAAGCACAAAAACAACGACTCCATCACTGCAAGTCGGCTGTAGAAGTCAAAGCACAATACGCAGCCAGGAAAGATGGACACATCTGATCAAGTACTCACGACAAGCCAGACTTTGATGCGCGTCAGCCCAGACCTCCGACGGTAAGGCGGATAAATAGATCTCCATATAGTAACAAAATAACGGACAAGGGCTCTCTGGTCATTGTCGCTTTGCAGATGCCGGGCGGCGTGTCGGAGGGGAACTTGGGCACTTCCCAGCCCAAGCCTTTGGCGCTTCGAGGCATCTTTCAGCAGCAGACTCGTTGACGTGATGTGTTGGTGAGGGTGGGGGAGGAGGGTTGGAGGTCAAGGAATGTAGGGTTTCCAAGGTGCATAGGGTTTGTAGAGCGTTTTGGGCCCAAGTGCTTCTGACCTTTAGGAGCACTGATGGGGCTTGCAAGGTTTAAAGCTTCCTGTTTTCCTGCGTTTGCTTCTTGCTCGAGGGCTCTAACATCAAAAGCTACAAGTCGAAGCCTCATCAGATCAGGGTCACGACAGCATAAAAAAGGTACTGGCCAGCACGACCTTCAAAGAACAGAGAACTCAGACACAAACTCTCAGAGACTTAGGGGCTGAGTACCCAGCCCAAACAAGGTTAACCTTTCATATTACGTAGGGTTCTATATACCCAAAAAGGTTAAAGGTTGCCTACGCAGTCCAAGGAGAGCTGGTTCACACGGGAGGTCGTTGAGTGGCTCCGGGAGCGAGGGTCAGCAGTTGGAAGTTTGCATGAAGGCAGATCGAGCTTTGCAGTCGTGAAGTGGGATCACAGGACGTAGTTTTGGGTTTGGGGTTCAGGGTTTAGGTTCGGGGTTTAGGGTTTAGGGTTACATCCGCGATGTCACGAGATACATCTCCGATCATCCCCGATTCAATCTCTCTTTCATTCACACGCGGAAGCCATGTTCTCAAGAGCCGGTCAGTTCTAGAGACAGGACAATATAACATCTACGTTAAGCAGTCAAAGGTCGCCTGAGCATTTAGTTGTTCATCGCCTGAGGCTACAGGTGCTACTTCGTGACGTCGTATGGGCAAGTGGAATGAATGCGTATCTTGGTACCTCGCACAGGCTGGCTGTTCCCTAAATGTCGGCAACATCCAGGGTAACCCTGAACCCCAAACCCTCAACCCTAACCAGAAGAAAACACCGAGTGGCAAGAACAGGCACGGTTGTCGAGGTTTCGCAACTTGGCACAAGGCGGGTGTGCAATGGGGTGACTCTGCTCAAACAAGCCAAGTATCATAGGGGCTTACGGGTATTGTAGGGCTTTTGGGGTTTCTATGGCAGGGGCTCGGGTTCATTCACAGCGCGAGAACGATGTGGCTTGGGATGTTCCCCCTTCTTCTAACAGTCCTGATGAGGGAGTATAGTCCCCGATTATAATCCCTATTAAGGACTGTTAGTATTAGGGGGAAACATCCCAAGATATGGCTCATGGCATGGACTGGAAGAAACTGGAAGAAGCCTAAGGGCGTTTTCTCAAAGAAAGGCTGTTTGAGCTTTCAAAGCCCGAAGGTCCAAGACCTTTGCGTGGGTCAACCTGTCCTGCTTTATCTTTTTTTTTGAAGGGGGTTCAAGGGTTTAGGGTTTCGGGTTTCGGGACTGGGGGGGGAGGTGATCTTTTCATTGGTTGGTGGAGCCACTGCAGCGAGGGATCCCAAACCGAACACCCGGGGAGCACCACAAATTCCTACACCGAGCCGCGTCTGGCTGATGCATCAGCATGCACTTGTCCGACACTTGCGTGTACCTGACAAAGGGCCCACAGATGACAACGGTCGAGGCATGTTTCTTGTCGGGTCGCTTCTGCAGTCTCCTGTCTGCATGCAGCGAAGCAACTAGGCCTCACAGTTGGTCAAAAAGCCACTCGACTTCGAATTCCATGATGCAGGAGGTGTGGCGCGTGCGCGTGCGTCTTACAGATCCCAAGAGCCCCGACTTGCTTGGAGGTTCATGGTACTCATTAACCAACTATAACTGTACTCAGACTTGCACTTGTAACTGTACTTGTAGATGTACTTATAACTGTACTTATAACCAAATTAGGGCACTTAAGGGGCTGATATGTGGGCTAACAGTACAGTTGTAGTTGGTTAGTACTCAACTTCAGCTTCTCAAGGCGTGAAGATGTTTCAGGTGCAGCTCGGGCACCAGGACCAGTAGCCCATGTAGCTGTACCGGCTGTTGATTTCAACCAGCTGCGGGCCATCCTGGAGACGCGTGTGGTCTACTGAAAGACCCCCACACGATTTCGCCCGATGGCGCCTACTTGGGGTTTAACATAAACCCCCAGATGGTAGGATTCCCTTCTCAAATACGGACCCCAATGAGGTACACGCTTAATTTCGGAAACCCCCAATTAGCACAGGCAGCATCAGCTCCACAAGCTTCAGGACACTTCTGCCGAGTGTGCTCGACATGGTAGTGGTGGACTTCACTCGGCGAGTCGATGAAACCAAACCCTGAAGCTCCAAACGCTACAAGAACACTCACTGAACCCTAAACCCTGAACCCTTAAACCCGTAAACCCTTAAAGCCTTAAACCCTAAACCCTAAACCCTAAAACCTAAACCTGGACCATCCACCCACAGCATGCACCCCAAAACCCAGACGCACGATCTATTGAGACATGAATGGGCCCTTTCAATAACCAGGCTGCTCCTTTAAACCCTCGGAGAACATTCACGTCGTTACTAATGTCCGCCTATATCCCTATGTACTCGATGTTTACAAAATGTCCCTGAAGCGCGTTACGTGGAATCTGGAAAGTTGACCTAGATGGTTTACAAAATGTCCCTGAAGCGCGTTACGTGGAATCTGGAAAGTTGACCTAGATGCCCAGCTTCAAACCACCCTGGCGGCACTAAAGTTGGGAATCCCATCATGTGTGTTGTGCTTTGACTTTGTATTCTGGGTAGGAATGGGTTGCGATTCTTGAGGAAGGAAGAAGGGGCATGAAGCATTCTGCCGATTAACTCCCTAAACTTAACCCAGCACCACGAACCCCAAAGCAGGAGCTCAGCGAGTCCTTCGTGAAGATGAACTCCAGATCAATCGCCTGCCACACCGAGGATGACTTGAGAGCTGAAAGGCGGCTTCAGGCTGCAAACCCTCAGTCTCGAGCCCTGAAAGGCCAACCATCGCCCCCCAAAAATCGAATTTTTGAGGCCAAAAAAACCACCCGAACACTGGAACCCTGCGCGTCGCCTGATTCTGGTAGCCCAGCTCGCGCAGCTTCTGGGTGACGGCGTGGGTCCACTCCTTTGGTACCTGTGCAAGCTCGGAGGGTCTTGGCAAGTATGATAACTGGGTACATAAGCAGCGTGGCACTTATGGTTTAACTTATATACTGCAGTTGAGTCTGGTTGTAAAGTCTTGCGGGGGGTCAAATGGCCCTACTTAACGCCACCAATGAACCTTCAAAAAGGCTTGCTTCTACATTGCAACTGCACTGCTCGTAGCACCTGATGGTTTTTCAGGGCAAACTGGTCTTGACCAAAAGAAGGTGTTGGGGTTCCTGCTCAGCCCGACGTGGCCAATCTCAACTCAAGCATACCGATGTTCTCGATCAACACCATTTGGGCTACATCTCATCTTCTCACTCCACTTCACCTCACGCCAAAACCACCAGGATTCCAGATTCCGAACTTGTCGGGACGGGGGAGTGGGGGGGGGTGGTTCTTTTTCATCGGGAGGGAGTATGGGTTGGAAAGCGGCTTCATCCTTGTCAACATGTAAGGCCTACAGGAAGTTTTGTCAAGAATGTTCGGAGTCGCGGCTTTCCCTGTGCGGAGAACCTCCCTCCCCAAAGCACACCCGCATTCGCATCCTCCCGCTCCGCCAGCTCCGAAAGCCGCACTGCACTTGAACGGTAGGGCTCGAGGTCCCCAAGACTGCGCCGGAATGCTCTGTAGTGGGACAGCATGCTTCTTTATCAGTATGCCCGTTTTTTGTGCGAGCGACTGATACACCATTCATGAAGGGCTCCTCTCTTGGAACCCTCCTTGCTGCCATCGGATCCTCTGTATGCTGTTCCTCTATCCAGGTCTGTTCGTCACGAGCCTGGCTGCAGGAGAATGCGGTGGATGTGCTCAGACACCTGCTTCAACGTGGGGAAGTCATACATAACAGTGGGCGCCAGGCTCACATCGAAGTGTCGCTCGAGATAGTCACGCAGCTGAAGGTGGCCGAAGCTGTTCAGCCCTTCGAGTAGAAAGTCCTCTTCAGAGACCTCTAGGCCCGCTCTCTCCAGAAATACCAGACTACACTCGTGCATAACATCGGCGAGAGACGTTTCTCCCACGATGGCTGTAAGGTCGGCTTGTTCAGCTTCTTCCATGTTGGCAAGCACATTTGCAATCGTGCTGCTGTTGGCCATCAGCTCACCATCGCACATGAATGCAACGCCCAGCCAGCTCCCCTCTCCCTTCAGATTCCTGACTTTCTTGGCGAGCTGTCTCAATGTTGTGCCGTCCTCCATCCTCAATTCAAGCAAGATATCGCCCGTCAAACTCCGCACGACAACTGGTACCAAACTCTCATCCATGGGTCGCTGCTCCGGGGGATATTATGCAGCACGCAACATGACAACATGATATAGCATGATCCTATTTGCTGCTATAAGAATGCAGAACTTCAGCCTTCGATGCTTGTAGGGCATAGCCGTAACATGATGTCCTGAAGCAACAGATGCCTTCGCCTTTAGCCAGAAGTACACGGACAAAAAAAGACACCGCTTCCTGTATGTAGGCTACACCCAAAAGCAAGAAATGAAATCTAACATCAGCTCCAAACTCCAAACCAATAAACGGTCAAATTGGCGGCACGCGGCGACTCATCTGCAGCACTTTCAGAAAATAACAACGAGGAAAAAGTAGACTCTAAAGTGATCAAATCACGCTCTATCCTCTGGTAGTTACTCCGGAAGCTTCTCCTGACCTAGAGGCAGCCCCGCCTCGAAGGAGCCGGGCGTCACAAACATGGTGAGAATCTCCTGAAGGTTTAGGGTTTATAGGACTCAGGGTTTAGGGTTTAGGGTTTAGGGTTTAGGGTTTAGGGTTTAGGGGTCTCAAGGAACCATGCGATGCAGAGACAGTCTCTATAATACTGTAGCACTTCATGTGCCCCGCCCAAGCCAGAAGAAGGCCCAGACGATCCCCAAGACTCTCATCGTTCATGCCCGAAGCTAGGACTCTCTCCATCCGGGAGCCAAGCAGCTAAAGGGACAGGTTGCGGGTGGGTCGGAAACTGTTTATATTAAAGCCGCGAGCGAAGCGCGCAAGCTTTCCATAATGCTACAGGTGTATATACCAGCCTCTTGCAAGACTCTTTGGAGTTGAAACATTCCCCAGCTGAAGCTGCCTAGAAAAAGTGCCCCCAGCCAAAAAGTCTCGTCGCCTCATGCTTGATCATGTCCCCCGTGTCGGCGATCAACGTGTGGTCGCCGTGGCTCTGCGCGGCTCAGGAGAGTTTTTCAGGGCTCTTACTTAAGGCTCCCGGCTCTGCCCCTCCCCCCCCTCCCCCACCCCACCAAAAAAACAACAAAAAACAAATCAATCAAGTTTGGCGGTTTTCCTGCAGGGGGGGGGGTCTTCAGAGGCGCTGCCCACGTCGAAATTCCACCGGTGGGTTCCTACAAGGGCCCCCCTAGAACCCTAAACCCCAAACCCCAGCCTGGTCCAAGACAATTTCGATCTGGTGCTCCCTCCCCTCGAAGTAAGGCTCCACGTGGAACCTGCCCATCTTTTCAGGGTTTAGGGATAAGGTTCAGGGTTTAGGGTTTAAGGTTTTGGGCTTAATTTAAGGGACCTCACTGAGATCCCCCCCCCCCGGTTCCCTTACGAGGCCCACAAAAGCTGGGGGCACATGACCAAGTCCTCCCACCGCGACTCGGGCATGGAGTCCGGGTGGAGCTTCTGGAACCACTTGAAGTAGAACTGCCTCTGCGGGGCTGCAAGCTCCATGCAAGAGAGAGGGGCGAGCTGTTTTGTGGCTCTTCATAGGGCCCGGCTTGAGCATGAGGAGGCCCCTCGCAGAACTCGAAGCTCGCAATGCCTCTGCAATCTCGAAGAAGAATCTTCTGAAGCCCTCCTGGTACCCCAGCCGCAGGCGAATGCCTCCTTCTGTCCAATTCCTCGTGGGACCGTTTCTGAAGAGTCGTCCTGAGCCCAACAAGCATCTGAGCTCCTACAGTAGGGCAGCAGTCGTTGAGGGGGGCACATTGTCCCCCGCACTTGTCGCGCTATGGTGTGGGCCCTTACCAAGCTTTGTCGTAACACGAGAGTATGCACGTCGATCTCCAAAGAGGCTGTTGCTTTCTACCTACCCCCAGAAATAGGCTGGCAGCCAAGGTGTGGGTTGTGTCTTGGACTTCGGCAGCCAAGCATCATCAGCTCGTGCCACTCCTCTGCATGATGCACGACCTTGCGCGATTCGGAAGCATTGGCAGAGTAAACACGCAAAATACAAATACATAGTTACACAACCGAAGACCCCAAACAGTCAAGGCACGTCAACGAAACAGTGGAGACGACAGGAGACAAAGGGAAACGAAGGGAGACTAAGGGAGGCGAGGCACAGCAACCCGGCAAAGCCACCCACATGAAGGGAGACAAAGGGAGCCCAGGAACCCGGCAACAGTCCTCAGAATGTCGGTAATCCTTAAATGAATTTAGAACCCCAACAGTAGACTGGTTGGGGAAAATATAAGCCAAAAACATATACATATATATATATATATACATATATACATATATACGTATACATATCTATATCTATATATATGTATGTATGTATGTAGATGAACATAGCATGGGCCAAGTCATGACCTTTGCTGAAATTACATGTAGCCGAATCAGGGAAATTGCTGCGTTCAGTTGGATGAGTCCCCAAGCCAAGGGGCCCAAGTGCCGACGTAGAACTGGCAGTCAATTTCCTGCCCCGCTCACGCCGAATGTCCGGCATGTGGAAGGTTGTCCCCCAACAAACCCCAAAGTACTAGAACTAATTCAAGGAACCCTGCAAAGGGGTACCAGTACTTTTTTCGGCGACCCCACATGGCGTTGGGGCTTCCATGGGCTGAAGTCGAGCTGTTGCTTTCGGATTTTCGCCGACATGGCCCGCCTTGACCCGCCACTTCACAGATTTTTTAACCACCCGGTAAACCCGCCCTCCGTCTACACCCTGTCCCTACATGCGATCTACGCTTCCGACGGGTCTATGCTAGGGGCCTTAGAAATTAGAATAGGGTTTCGGGGGGAAGGGGGGGGGGGCATTGTAGCAGCTAATTATTTTGGGACCATGAGGGTTCCGACTCCTATAGGACATGGGCTCTGTCAGCTCTTGACAAACCCTCAGCAAAACTGGGAATACTATCAGCAACTACTCCGACCCCTTTATCTATACACACCTGGGCAGCTAAAAACCGCCAGCGCCTTCAAGACCACGGGATACCTTGGAAGGGTTCAGGGCAATGTGAAGAGCTGGGTTCAAGCGCCGTAAGCCGTTCTTCTGGGTTTAGGGTTTTGAATTTAGGGCTTGGGGTTTAGGGCACCCTGTTTAGGCTCTAGAACTTTGAAGGCCTCAACCCAGGAATCAGGAGAAAATGAAAAAAGACAAATGAAAAAACAAGAAAGGAGGCCCCCAAGGGCCAAGAAAGCTTTGAGGAGAGGCGTGGTCTGAGTTTCTCAATGGCTATTGTTAGGGCTTTCGGGGTTTTAGGTTTTTAGGGTTTTAGGGGTTAAAAATTTAGGAGTTTAGGGTTTTAGGGGTTTTAAGTAGGGGTTCAGGGGTGGTAGGGGTTGTAGGGGTTTAGGTGCTTTAGGGGTTTTAGGGGCTCCCCTTCCCCCCCTAAACGAGCCTCCCACCAAGCTCACCCCACAGTGCCCTAAAACCCTAAAGTCCTAAACCCTACAAGCCCTCAAAAGTGGCGAGATGTGCTTCCGAGCTGCGTCTCCGGGGCCGGAGGCGGCTTCCGAGGGTCCACGGCCGTCATCGGAACTTCTGGGCTCAGCGCCTTCCTGACATGGAGAAGTCGTTTTTGATTCTTGCTCTCCTTTTTTGTGGGGGGGCGGGGGGGTGGGCTCTAGGGTTTAGGATTTTGGGGGTTTAGGGTTTTGGGGTTGAAAACTGTTCGGCTGCTCGGGTTCAGGTTTCTTGCAATGTTTCGGCGAGCCGCCTTCGCGACACGTCAGAATCGGGCGAACACGTGGCCGCAACGACGAGTGCATGGTGCAACATTCGTCATTGAGCTGCGCAGAGCACGCACTGTGGGGGTAAACGCCCTTTGGGGGGCACCAGAGAGCTCCGCAGCTTAAGACTTCGGCAGATCCGGCAAGGCAACCTCACATCTTCGGAATCTTTCGGACGGCTGCTAAACCCCCCTCTCCCTAAGACCCGCCCGGGATGGCCTCATGTAGTACTTGCTGATGCAATGGAATACGCTCTGGAAAGAAGGGCCTGGGATGCTGGGAAGCCGGTGGCACTCTGGTGATTCTAAGCGACAGGTTTTCATCACTTGACGTTTACCTCATGCACAGGGCCAGCAGCAGACCCGGCCTACGATGCTGGGAAGGAAAGCGTAAAGGTTTTGGGTATCCACCCTCAAACCGTATCAAGAGCCCTGTATCCCCCCAGAGCCTGGCAACCTCTGATCCGTTACATAGAAAAACGGCTGACAGTGACCTGGAAAGCCAAGCGAGGAGTTGATGATCGACGCGATGAGGCTGGGGAAACAGTCCTTGGCACGGGTCAGAGCTCTGTGTGAACTTAGACTATTCGGTTTAAGGCTTAGAGGCCCTTAGGGCGAACGTTTATGGCCTTGTGCGCTGAAAAATATACCAACTCAGAAACCTTGAAGTCCAAGGTCAGACCTAGCTGCCATAGGACGCCTAGAGTGAGCTCTGCTCCAGAAAGTTATTAATAGTAAAATCCCGTATAATATTATGTGGAGAATACTAATACTATTTCATAAGGGAGAAAAGGCACATTCATTTCCTTATTAATTTCATTCAGTTTTCTTGCTTTTATCTTCATATCCCATGCATTTACTACTATTAACCTGGGCTAATGGCTTGGGAAAAGATGGAATGAAATGAGCTAACTTCTAAGCTTGTTGAAGGTGGTTAAAAAGACCCAACTTTGAGGCAGTAAATACCAGGTTGATAGAGGTAAGAAGTATATTATCGCGGCGCTCTCTTTTACTTTCTCTTAAGGAGAAGGCCAAGAAAAAGAGCACAGAGCTCACTTGAAGAAGCAGTGCGCTTGCCGGCTTGGTTTTTAAAGCCCAGGGGCGAAGCCAAAAACGCCTTTGATGCCGTGGCTTCTGCAGTAGCTGATTGCCTGAAGGGCGCCCCCTTCCCCTGAAGGTTAGATTTCGGGTACCGCTGCCGCTGCCTCAGCTTACGGAAAGTTGCCGAAGGGAACCACCTGAGGACACCTTAGGGTACCCGAAACCCTCTGGACCCTAGGTCCGTGAAGATATGCTGCCCATCTTCGGTTGCAGGCTGGGCTCGGGGTTAGCCCGACATCGGCATCACGCCCTTGCGGAACTCAGCATAAGAATATGACATAATTGTATAAAAATATCTTAGTCTAGTAATTGTATTGTAGTCATATAGTAACATAGTATAGTAATAGAAGGGGGCGCTTCACCTGTGAAGCAACTAGGTGATGTTGGGTGCACGGAGTTTGGGACTTCCTTTTGGTGGCGGGGGGTGGCGCAGCTCCCATAGGCAAACACGAACTGCAGATGTTAAAGCAGGAAAGCGGGATTTCCAGGTGCTTTTCCCCTACTTCGGAGTAAACCTTGGGGAAAAAGTGTATGTATTTATATTTTCAGGTTATAGTAGGAACCCAGAACCAAAGAAGTATGAAAGTATAGTACTCCAAAGCCCAGTTTAGATCTCGGCAAGTGGAAGTCACCAACCCTGAGCCTCGCTTGAAGCAGGGTCTATATTCCTTGTATCCCCAAAATGACACCCAATATGTACACTCACCAATGTTAAGCAGGAACCGTATATGCACTCACCCAGAACAGATATATAAACCCTGAACCCTAAACCATAAACCATAAACCCTAATCCCTGAAAATATACACCCTGTTTCAATACCCAATATATACACTCACCACTGACAGACATGTAAACAGACATGTCAACCCTGAACCTCGCTTCCCAGCCCCTTCCCGCCGACTCGACGAACGCGTCGGCGTCAAAGCTCATCACCTGCGAGTCGGAGATGGAGGGTTGAGGGTTTAGGGGTTAAAGGGTTTCCAGGGTCTAGGGTTTAGGATTTAGGGTCCAGGGTTTATGGAGGGATTCTTGCGGCAGGGGTGGGGGTCGGGGTGGGAGGGGCAAAGCAGGACTCGAAGTACGAGGCATCTGCTTTGAACCTTTGGCGTGCAGGAAGACCTTGCTTTGGACATTGGGGATGAACGGTTGAGAGGCATTGCGGCGTGGCAGGCAGACGTGACGTTCAAGACTTCCGGGAGTGATTCGTGACATCGTAGAAATATGCAGGAGCTCAGCAGTTTGGACTACCCATTACTAGGGGGAAAGTTTGGTGTAGCCTGGCTCAAGGACTTCCAAGAGACACAGCCAAACCCAATTGTCCCCACCCCGCCGCGCCTTGAACATGCTGTACTTCTCGCAGTCGAGGATGTGGTAATGAAACCTGAATATTTCTGGATTTCTGGATGTCTGACATGGAATTCACAGGCCTCAAGGATTTTTCAAGTCAGTCTAGCTGGGAATGTACCGGTTTCTCAACCATGTCGTCGTTCGTCTTCGGGCCATTCTCATCTTTCGACACGTCGGCTTTTTCGTGACGTCATCTTGTCTTGGTCCCCAGCCCTTGTCTCCCAAGCCCCTTTGGGCCTTCCACGATCATGGACTTGAGGGTAACGTTAATTCAGCCCTGTACTTTCCTTGCAGTGCCTTCATCATCCGCGAGCACTTGAATTAAAGCTCCAGCTTGAATGACTTGAGTGTACTTGCCGTCCCTCCAACATTGGGCACTGCACTCCGAGGACTGGGAACTGCTCTCATGCATGCGGCCCAAGAACCGCGAGTTCTCCTGTATGCGAGCGCCATAGTGCCTCAGACAGCATCAAAGGCTCTTCTGTCTTGTGGTCGATGGAGAGTCGGGCTTCGAATTCGGGCGTGATTCTCCAGTAGCGCCAGGCTCTCTGTTCCACTCGACATCCTTCAACCTCGCACATACCTTTTGGAAAGGTCGAAAGCCTTCCCTTGAAACGCCCTGATCTGAATCCCCCATTGACTTCCGTCGCAGCGCCCGGGCAGCACAGCCGCCACGTGAGGTGCTTCTGCCGAGGACGCAGGCACCTGTTTAAACAAGGGGGGTATATATGTATATGCATATGTGTGTGCGCAACATACACAGACATACATACATACATACATACATACATACATACATATATACATACATACATACATACATACATACATGAATACATCCGTCCGTCCGTCCGTCCGTCCATCCATGCATGCATGCATACATGCATACATACATACATACATAGATACATACATACATAAATACATACATACATACATACATACATACATACATACATACATACTATATTATATATATATATATATATATTATGGAAGTCTGTACACGCATACACAAGATAGGTTTCAAGTGTTCTGCGGCTCATGGATGATGCCGTTCGTTGGCGCTTACGTAGGACAGCGGATGCACACCAGGTCAGGGCTCTGTCGGCGTGAGCGGCCACACATTGAAAATGGGACTTAGAACTTCGGGATTTCCAGGTGGCATCCCACCGAAAAGATAGCACCGAGAAAAGAAGCCTCTTGCTGAAGGCATATGTCCCACCCCCCCCCCCGCCCTTGATCCCTTGCAGTCCCCCCCCTCGGTGCTTCAAGCGACATTCAGGCTTTCAGGGCTGAGGCATCCCCAAGTGTGGACCTTGCGGTGCTAGCCAGGGGTGCAATACTACAGTGGAGGTCATCCTCCTTAAGGACCAAGTGAACCCTGAAATTCGGGTCATGTACTACTATAACCCCTATTAGAGTACATGAGTAATGTTGGACTGGCTTTAGTGGGAGGGGGCACTATTATGCGATGTTCCGGAAACCTTATAGGGGACCCCCCCATTGATAGGGTGGGCCTCAATAATGCGATGTTTGCCGGCCGGGGTTGAAGGGCGGGGGGCCGGGGAGCCAAAAACTAAAAACAGTTTTGAATAAGAAACTCCGGAATTGTTTGGTGTCCAGCCTTATTTAAATTCCTTTTAAAATTTCATTACGAAACAGGCCCCCAAACAATTTTCCAAGGGAGTAGCCCACGAGCTGCCCTGATTCGCTTTAGCAAGTTGTTTCGGTGGTCCGCATTTATGCGGAGCCCCGGCGACCGTGGAGCTACAAAGCCTGGAAAGCTTAGACCCTCAAGCTTCAAGGCTTCCCCTCAACCCTCGACCCCTAGCCGCCCTACCCCCAGCCCCGTCCCAGCCCCAGCCCACACATTCAGGATCCCCGAAAACCCCAAAATTGTTTGGGGGGGGGGGGGGGACCCCTACGTACTAAAGCGAGTCCAACATTATATGAACCATAAACTCTTTTGGGGTTCGTTTAGTCCTTAAGGCTCTTGTGTGCGGGTGCCGCTCGGCCTGTCTCGCTTGAAGCAGGCTCTTGGGCGCCGCAGTGGCCGCAGCGGACTTGGAGGAGCCGCAGCCCATGGCCTTTGCCCGACCCGCTCTCAATGTAAGGATGGGACAAGACTTTTCAGGGGGTTTAGGGTTTAGGGGTTTAGGGTTGAGGGTTCACGGTTTAGGGTTTAGGGGTTTAGGGGTTTGGGGGTTTAGGGGTGTGGGGTTTAGGGGTTTAGGGGTTCAGGGGTTTAGGGGGGTTTGGGGGTTTAGGGGTTTAGGGGTTTAGGGGTTTGGGGGTTTAGGGGGGTTTAGCGGTTTAGGGTGTAGGGGGCATGGAAGATCTTGGTCTTCAGAAGGTTTAGGGTTTGGGGGGGTTTAGGGAGTACAGGGCATGCCCTTCAAAATCTTTGAAAGCTTTTCTGCACATGAGGGCCTCTTCAACCCAATGACCCACGGAACAGCTGTAGGGCCCTTGCTACCATGGGGGGCGCCCCCTACCAGGGCTTCCGGGCATCGATTGCAAGTTTCGGGTTTCGGGTCCAGGAATCAACCCACGCAAACCCCGAAGCTGAGAGTCCTTCGCCCCACTTTCCCTCCACAA